AGATTTCAAGTTTATTTTTTGTCGGCAAAAGCCTTAATTAATCGGACGCATTTAGAGGTATCAAAATGAATCGAATTCGGCCTACAACCCGGCCCTTTGTGCCTGTGGCTAAGAATGATGGGCATGCTCAAATTAGTCCATCGAGCATTTTTCGCTATGCCGAAGTTTGATTTATTCGTCTTAATGTATGTTTTTATTGAATTTTAGTTGAAAAAAAGGCAAAATAATTCACGGATCAGACCAAGTCGGATTGGACTGTCTCACGACCATATCAACTGGTTTGATCTGTCGTGACACCTCTAACTGTACGAATGACACACATTTCTTGAATGACTTAATTACAATATAAAATATTAGCATTTCTGTTACCAATAAGTTGACATAAGAGTGTATTAATTGATATATATTGATCATTATTATATATGTATACGTATAGGCGTAGACTATTATATTATTTTACTTGCAATTATTTTTGGATCTTACGACATGAGGTCCCTTGTCATGTGAGCTGGTTCCCAAAACAAAATCTTAATTATTGATAACGGAATAAAGAATCATGCTACATGTACAATCTAATTTGACAATATTGGTTGACAATTTACATTTCGCAACTTCACATTAATCCATTTCAAACACTGTTTTTAAATCGATGGCTCGAATTTTGACATGTTAACCAAATTTGTATCAAATCGAGCCTTTGGCTAGTTGATTATCCATACCTCAGCCCCTTCATACTCGCAAATGGCAAAATGGATCAAAGTGACCTGGCCCTATCGATGAGATGACTAATGGGAATTATGTCGGGTCCGTCAGTTTCAACTAATTGCATGTTGACTATCTCTTGCTCGACTCGCACGTTCAACTAAATGGATGTTGATTAATGATGACAGTGTTAATCGTGCTGGATTAATACAATTCGACTATAATGAGAGGTGGAACCACGAAGCTTTGTGATTGATCCGACCTGTCTGTAGACTTGCTCCAAGGTGGATTGAATCAAGACCGAATTTTATGATCTTGATTGAAATAAATGAAAATGAATAAATAAAGAAAGAAAGAAAAAGAAGGTCACGAAGTGGGCACGTGCCGGACCTCATTCAAATGTGCCAATGCTGTGAATTTATGTTTAAATTTATCAAATGACATCTTTACCCCTGAGGTGCATGTTTTGGGTTCTGCAGAATGATGATTACACAAGATTTCACATGGGTATTCTTTAATGACAATGCTAGAAAAACAAGGAATATTGACTGGGATTTCTTGACAGACACACTTGGAGAGAATTCATTGGAGAGTGGAAATTTTTTTAGACAAACAGGCCAATCACAATCTGCCACATCATGTTGGTATCCAAATCCTGTCAAAAAAGCCTATTTGAGTGGCTTTATCCATTCTTTAAAATGGAAGTTACATTTCCCATGCATGCACCAATTCAAATTATGGAAAATTGCTCCCCCCATACCTCTCTAAATTCCAATAGGAAACATCTCCCTCTAATGAATTTGTCAAATGCATTCACATATTTTTGTTATTCGAATATTCATAATAATTATTCTTACCCACCTACCAATTACGATTTCGTTACTGATTGGTAAAAATTCTTTAAAATTCATTTTTTTTAAATATACATTTTTTTAATAAAATATTTTTTCTCGAGAATCCATAACTTTTTCTTGTATTTTTACAGCACATCCTTAAACAAAAAAAATCACTTTTCACAAAATTTATTCTCGAAAAACTACATCAGACAGACTATTATCAAATTCGTCATGTATTTTTGCATTTAAATTTATTCTTTTTGTCACACTATGGAATATGGACAACACTAAAGAGTAATATAGAAAAGAAATTAATTAATTTCTTTATTTTCTTTTAATACTGACTTTATAGTTTACCTTATTAAACAATGAGTTTTTATTACTTTTTGTCTAAAAAGGATTGACGGCACATTGTAAAACCCTTGTAATTGAAGATTTCTAAAAGCAAAGAGTATATTTCGTTGCCTCTTTAACAAGTTCGAGAAATATACCAAACAATTTATTTTGTGAGATGATATGATTCCACCCGATAATCCACAATTCCAGACCATAGACGATGACACTAAAAGAAGAAAGTGAATTGCCATAGCAACTCCGTTGACACGATGAATGTGTAAGCAAGATCTTCAAGAGACTATAAAAATCGAGCGCTCTCTATTTGGACAAGTCAATATTCAAAAAGAACTCCCCAACCATAGGCGATGACACTAAAAGAAGAAAGTGAATTGCCATAGCAACTCCATTGACACGATTTATGTGTTAGCAAGATCTTCAAGAGACTACAAAAATTAAGCGCTCTCTATTTGAGCAAGTCAATATTCAAAAATAATTCCAGGAAACTCTTTATTCTAAAATTTTAATACAAAGATAAATTTGATTCTCCAAATTTCGAGAGCAAACGCTACTATATTATTTTACAATGATTGCATTTTATGAACTACAAATTTTAATAATCTACTCATACTTGAATTGATTGCCAAGACATAAAAAATGTCAAATTAAAGAAGAGGAAAAACCAATAAATATTCTTTTAAAAAATAAAATGAAGAGCCAAAATAGAAAACATTGTTACTGTAAAAAAAAAAAATACAATCTAAATTTAAAGATACTCTTTATAAATAGTCTTACGAAGAAACTCTAATTCTCGAACTCAACTTCTGACGTTGCTAAAAAAAATCTACATTTTTCTAAAATTAAAAATCGATTCACATTATATTGATTGGCACTATTCGATTGTTTAAATAACCGGCGAGCTTTCATTAACTAATGTTATCTAAGATGAGCAACCACACTCAGTCCTCAACACGAAAACTTAAAACAAATTAATGTCGCAAATACAGTTTCACTGTCGATTAGCTGCAAAACCTTTTCATAGTCCACTAAGCTGTCTCACTTGGAAAACAGTTTTCCCATTTACTTTCTTACAAGATGCATAAACCTATGAAGAATAGAAATAAGTTCGATTTAAATATCATCAAATACTATCGGAGATGTGATGTAAATCAATCCTTGTATCCATTACTGAACTTCCATGAATTTTCTACATTTGGCCAACTGAAAACTGTAGCTGCTCCAAGTCACAGGCAAGAAACCGAATTTTGAGCTAAGAGAAAGAAAAAGATTCAAACCTCAATAGTTTTACCAACCAATAATTTATATGCATCACGGAATTCAATATCAATGTAGGTAATGCCTTTTGTACATCATTGTGTACATAATGATGGACAAATAGACGACACGAAAGAGTGAGAACGATTAAAAAAGAGAGAAAAAGAATAGAAAAGAAAAGAAATTATAATAATCTCTCTTTTCCATGTCATTTATCTATACACCATGATGTACACAATGATGCACAAATAGCATTACTCCAATATAGTATGGGTAAGTTGCATTAACGGTACCTTCTGAGATCTTTGAGGCTTTCTCATTTGCGTATTGAAAGATCCGTGTGCAGGTATGCAATGCAAGCAATTAACACAATTAATTACAATTCCTAGTAAAACATTTTCTAAGAAAATTAATTCCTTGTAAAATATTTTATTTCCACCCATTTTCCACCCTTGCAATCAAACGGACCCTAAAAGAAGAAAGTGACTTGCCTCTGACACGATGAATGTGCGAGCAAGATCTTCAAGAGACTATAAAAATCAAGCGCTCTCTATTTGAGCAAGTCAATATTCAAAAATAACTCCCCGACCATAGGCGATGACACTAAAAGAAGAAAGTGAATTGCCATAGCAACTCCATCGACACGATTTATGTGTAAACAAGATCTTCAAGAGACTATAAAAATCAAGCGCTCTCTATTTGAGCAAGTCAATATTCAAAAATAATTCCAGGAAACTCTTTATTCTAAAATTTTAATACAAAGAAAAATTTGATTCTCCAAATTTCGAGAGCAAACGCTACTATATTATTTTACAATGATTGCATTTTATGAACTACAAATTTTAATAATCTACTCATACTTGAATTGATTGCCAGACATAAAAAAATGTCAAATTAAAGATGAGGAAAAACCAATAAATATTCTTTTAAAAAATAAAATGAAGGGCCAAAATAGAAAACATTGTTACTGTAAAAAAAATTACAATCTAAATTTAAAGATACTCTATATAAATAGTCTTATGAAGAAACTCTAATTCTCGAACTCAACTTCCGACGTTGCTAAAAAAATATCTACATTTTTCTAAAATTAAAAATCGATTCACATTATATTGATTGGCACTATTCGATTGTTTAAATAACCGGCGAGCTTTCATTAACTAATGTTATCGAAGATGAGCAACCACACGTTCACTGAACTCTGTCCTCAACACGAAAACTTAAAACAAATTAATGTCGCAAATACAGTTTCACTGTCGATTAGCTGCAAAACCTTTTCATAGTCCACTAAGCTGTCTCACTTGGAAAACAGTTTTACCATTTACTTTCTTACAAGATGCATAAACCTATGAAGAACAGAAATTAGTTCGATTTAAATACTCTCGGAGATATGATGTAAATCAATCCTTGTATCCATTACTGAACTTCCATGAATTTTCTATATCTGGCCAACTGAAAACTGTGGCTGCTCCAAGTCACAGGCAAGAAACCGAATTTTGAGCTAAAAGAAAGAAAAAGATTCAAACCTCAATAGTTTTACCAACCAATAATTTATATGCATCACGGAATTCAATATCAATATAGGTAATGCCATTTGTACTTCATTGTGTACATAATGATGGACAAATAGATGACACGAAAGAGTGAGAACGATTAAATAAGAGTCAAAAAGAAAAGAAATTGTTATAATCTCTCTTTTCCATGTCATCTATCTATACACCATAATGTACACAATGACGCACAAATAGCATTACTCCAATATAGTATGGGTAAGTTGCATTAACGGTACCTTCTGAGATCTTTGAGGCTTTCTCATTTGCGTATTGAAAGATCCAACACGTCCATACGTTACGTTCGTTAGAAGAAAAGGGAAAAAGCAGAAACTAGCATCAATGGTTCTGCAAGCATAAACATTGGATTGAAGTTGTAAAAGACCTGCACAACAAAATGGTAACCGTGAGAGGCAAGAAGAAAAGGGATTAGCAGTCATGTGAAACATAGAGAATTAGCAAAATAATAATAATAATAATAATAATAAAATTAGAGCATCTACAACTTAATTTTAGTTTAGAGAATATGAGAAAAGTATTCTTCCATCCTTTTCCTCTTATTTGATATTACAAGGACAATGAGGAAAATTAATTTCAGAAAATCAGTCAAGAGTTGATAATTCAGGGATCTGGAGAAGCATATACTAAACCTTGCCTCTAGTCAACAGCTAAAGGTTAAATTCTCAAATTTCAATAGACTACCTCAGAGCTTCAAATATCATCAAATTTGAGCTGTGTTTTGTATGGAAGAAATAGAAGAATGATTCATCTTTATATTGATCATTTCCTCTACTAATAACAAGAATTTTTTATCTTATTGGCACTCGATCGAACAGTTTCTTAAGCAGGGTGATGCATGCTAAATTTTGCTATTATTCTGTATCTTCTAGGAAGAAATTCATTTAACGGAAGTGGAACAGCAAATCAACGGCCAATCCTGGTGGATTACAGGTTTAGCGGATTCAACCTCAAGATAAAGTAGCTATGAATGTGTCATTCTCATCAATGGTTTTAAAATTTAAAGGAATGGCCATGGATTTGCACTGTAACCTGTCTAGAATTGGCATAAGCCACTCAATCGAATTTAGTAAAGAAATTACCTGGAAAGGAACATTATGCTCAGGTACAACATTTTTCTTTTCCAGAACTACCACAGTCCTCCCAATAACATCAAGGTATGAGTATTTGGTCTGCAGATAGAAGAGATCAAAATGTAAAGCGTTGAAATTCTGCTAAGAAATGAAATAGAGCTCGCAGTTATAGTGAACTCCAATCACACACGCTAAAGTAAAAATTGTTTCTTAGAATTGATTTGAAATTATTCATCCCATCAATAGTTACGAAAGAATAGAATTAAAAACAGATGCTTCTTGGATGGTGTCAAGACATCAGAAAATATAATATGGCTTGTCTGCAGTCGTGTCAATTATCGTATCTTTTTCACGAATAACACATTTTGCACTGCCGTACAGGTAACAGATTCACTTTCTAACAAGAGGACCCACCTAATATCATTGGACATTGCAAATAAATTAAAGGATTAAATAAGAGTTTTTTGCTAGATGCTTTTAGTAGAGTGGTACATGTTATTATTTATATATGGTCAGCTTCCCTTAAATAAAAGACAATGTTTGCCTCAGTGATAAAAGAGGCAAATTCTAAATCAATTACCTCCAGACTATGTTCTACTGTAAAAGGAGCTTTGACAGAAGGGTTCTTTGATCCCTCCGGAAGGACAACCTGAAAAATATCAGAGGCATTAGAAAATTAAATTCCAAATAACAAAAGCACCGAATTAACAGAAACAACTAACACATACTGCAACAAACAACTCATAATACAATACAGACTTTTATAGTCAACTTGTCAACAACTGTCTCGGACAAAGGACACCCAAAAGTGTAATTCAGGTAACGTGAACCATCATCCGACTCGAAAAGGAAGTCCTGGAGTGGAACCCCGTATCCGATGACAAATGTTGCTTTCCAGCCGCCAAATAAAGGATACCGTGGCTCAATTAACAGCTCTGACTGCAAAGAGAAAGAACACAATTCAATATGACATCTGCTTTCTTTTTGCTTTTATTCTAGTTATTCTCAGTTAGAAAGCTGCTAGAATGGTGGTGCAGTGTTCAAATAGTTTTGGCAAAAGCATAAGTGTCTTAGAATAACTAATTCTAGATCTTACAACCTAACAGTTCATAAGAATTTAATGCCATCAGCTCGCTATAGAGCATCTAATGATGAGCAGACTTGAGGTACAAAAATTGTTTATAAGAAATATTAACTTAATGAGAAAATTATAGCATGTAGAAGAATGATGAGTCAAATACAAAGAAAAGACGAGATCAATTTTTCTAAACATAAAATTCCTTCCAAACCCAGCAGCCTGAAGTAGGGCATTGTCTTTTCCTTCGATCTCTCCCGGTGTGTTTTTTTTTTTGGGTGGTGTGTTATGGTGCAGGGATAGGGCATGTGGAAGGATCACCTTCTTAGAATTTGTACGCAAACGTGATGACGAGATATTCCCTATATCATCTCTGTAGTAGACAGAATGAACCCTTGGGGGTAGCTCTGCAAGAAGATGCTTGAAGGAAGAGACGCCACTAATGGAAGGTCTAGATTGATACTCAACCCTGCCAAAAGAAGCTCCACAAATTGATGAAATAAATAAACAAAATATAAGAATAAATGTGAAAAATAACACAGATAGAAGCATTGGAGTTAGCAAAAGTTTCAGTTCCAAATTGGTTAAAACTTTTAGTCACAAAGCACAGCTCGTAGCCATTTTAATCAATAAATACTTGCATGATAAACAGCTTGCCTGAAAAGAAAACTTCAGACCACGCTAAAATTGGTAAAAAATGATATTAACAACAATTTTAATTCTCTCATATATGATTATCTAAAGATTGGAATGCTACTACACATGAAACTAGTGTATCTAACCTTGAGAAAATGCCTCTATGCCTGGCACCAGCATGAGCTAAGTTGTAATGCTCGGTAACCTGGACGCTGCCCCAGTGAGATATCTCGATTTCACGCTCAAGCTCCTCAACAACAGCAAATGCATTATTGTTTTCTAAATGAATGATTACAGGAGAGTATGAATAAGGATGACGGTCCTCATAAGGTCCATATCTCAGTTCTGTACCCGAGCGGTCAGTGGGTTCAACTCTTGTGAATGATTCCACCTTAGAAGTTGGTGTCTTAACCATTGATGCCTGCTGTTTTATTTGATATGGAGAGAGAATAACGGCACTGTCATGGTAATAAACCAATTGAGACTCTGACTGGCTTATCTCTGCTGGGAATGGCTCAAGAGAGTGTGTTAATATGTAATGTATTTCTAGCGTGATTGATTCATCCTTGGCTAATGGTTTGAGCAGAGATATGGAGTAGTATTTGGTTCCATTTGGTGCATCCGGGTGATCAGATGGGTTCACTTCAAGAGGAAGATACGATTTCTTCTTCTTCTTGCCAACAGTGGCTGCCGCTTTGACCAAAGCTAGATGATCAAACTGTGCAGGTGGGAAGGCAAGAAGGACTTCTGCTGCTGGAGCTTCCCCAGTATTCTCAACCTGAGACAGCCAATTAATAATATGAAACAAGCACGCTGCAATTTCAATTTCAAGTGGAAATTGAAGATGACCATGCAAAAATATCTGGTAAAAAGGTAATAAAAGTACATGTTCCATTGAGATTTGTGAAATCAGGACCACCCTCACTTGTAACATGGTTCACATATTTTTCTGGAAAATAAATGGAAGATTTATGATGCTGACTTCTTCCAGAACTTTTCACCCTAGTACACAATTGTGTACCTTTAAAGCCAGGGCACCACCACCACACTAATGTCTGCACGGTGTTTCAGTTCCTGGATCATGCTCTAGAAGGATGAAAATTCTCTGGCATTACCATTCCTCTTGAAATACCATAAAGAGTACTACAATATTAAAGTTTTTCACTCAACTTGGATTTTTCACTTAGACCTTAACATTTCCACATTCTTCTTAATCTGAAAATGAAACATCTTTTTTTCTTTAAACTGATCTTTTAACCACACTATATCCTACATATGTGGAATGTGAAGTCCATCCAATTGTTGACCACCAAATCATGATGACTACATTAACATTAGTTAGGAAGAAAAACAAGCTAGCAGCCATATGGAACACTGAGCAGTTAAAACAAAACTCTAGAGACACCTCAGATAATATTAATTGCAAGCACAATGAAAAGAAACCGTTAAGATATGGATGATGTGATTTATGCTAAACATTCTTATTACTTTTTCTTCTAGAGAAGAACTTACGATGCTACCTTCTCACTAAAAAACCTCTACAAATTCCAATTTGATTTGAGAATTCAGGACCCATCACTTTTCACATGGTTCACATCTGGAAGATGCATGATACTACCTTCTTACTAAACCTTTCTCCCCACTAGATAAAAGTAAATCCTAAAAACCAAAGTTGCCACCACACTAATGTCTGTACCATGTACTCGAGTTCTCGGACCATGCTCCAGCAGGATAAAAATTGCTCTGGCATTCATCCCTATTGAAATGGCCCATTCGGGTAACGAAATTCAGGCTTTGCACCAATTTTTATTTTTATTTTTTAGATCCTAGCATTGTAATCTTGTTTGATCTAAAACAGCAACCTAATTTTTATTTTGAATGTGATCTGGTAATACCGAATTTGAAGTATATCATTTTTTACCACCAACATTACAACAAAACACCAATAACACATACTTCTTCAGAACTGGCGCAAGAAAAAAAAATCGCAATTTGAAAAAATCGAAATTAAATTAATATGAAATATAGGTTACGAGCGTACCTTCAAGGTCAAATAAACCCTAACAATATGCGAAGTCAAGTCAATCTGCACAAAATCACACGATGCACATTGATGATCTATAAGAAAACTGCTACGTAAATATATTTTCTTTCAAAAAATAGTAAATTAACTTGGTTAAGAAAATATAAAATGTGGAATTTTTACCCTGCGTTCGGCTGTAAGGATCTGGAGGTTCGAAGAAGGAGGAGAAGACGACGACGTTTTCACGAGCAACATAGAAAAGAAAAAGAAAACGGAGAAAATTATTGACTTTCGGAAGTTCGCCATGGCTCCCATTGCTGCCTTGGTAGACTTTGTTCAGTGAGCGGTCTCCTCAGTGCGTTTGTGTGGGTGAAACAATGCCGGGGAATTTACATAGAACCCCTTGGATTTAATTGTCCCAATGTCAACGAACTCATGTCCATTTCTTCTATTCCTCACTGAAGTTTAAGATATCAAATTTTGACCACTAAACTTATCGAAATGTTTGACGTTACTCGTTACCTCAACGTCTATTCCAAATATTTAACGGAATTAGTGATGTTGCTATTGGAATGCAAATGTGGCGCCCCGTCACGCCGTTAACAAATGTCACGTTTTCGATTCCTCACGAAAAACGTCTTCAATTGCTCACTGAACTTTAAGGTAGTCGAATTTTAGTCTTTAAATTTATAAAAATGATGTCAACCTATTGTTCGTTAAAAAATATGTATCAAAATTTCACGGGTCACGCAAAAGTAGTAAAGTGGACAAATGAGTCCGATTTTCGAATTGTCGATTCCACTGGAAATGATTACTCAATAATTAAATTTAATTTTAACATATTTTTGTACAATTTTAAGTTATTTACATCATTCGAAAAATCCAAAGTTATTGTTTGTTTCGTTATAAAATCTATTCAATTAAAATATTAATAAAATCAAAATCTTAATTAAATTTAGGGATAATTTAGCTGAGGCCCCGAACCTTTCAAACAGTGGCGACTTTCTTTTAACATTTCAATCATTGCAGCCGTCATTTCAAATCTTTCAAATCGTAACATCTTAGGTCCTAACGGACGACTTTCATTTAATATGTCGTTAGTTGACCAAAAAAATAATTTTGACCACTTCTTAATCAACTTTAAAATGGCAAAATAGTAATTTAATACTTTCTCCATAAAATAATTAAAAACTTAAATCAAAAACAAAAAAAATTAAATTAAATTAAGGAAAACTATCTTTCTCATTGACGACCAACTCCCACCCAACATCACCCCCTCAACCCAAAACTAGAAATTTGCAACCACCACGCCTACCACCATTAAAGAGATTGTGAAATTATTTGAAGTTCATACATATCATATAAATTCTACAGAGCTTATCAACTACAGAAATATTAGAATTCTACAAAATAAACACTTACGAGAATAAAAATACCACTAAGAATTATAACTACTACTAGCCTTTCAAAATCCCCAAAATAGTTAACCTTCCATGAGCACATTGGCCTTGGCAAGTTTGCCCTCGCCTTCTCTAAAACATTTTCCAAATTACATCAACTCAACAAGCTCAACTTTTAAGTTTTATTACCAACACATTCTTTCTTGGTCTAACCTTTTTTAGGCTCTCGTTGAAGCCATCGACACCAACATTGGCGGCGTCACATTTGTGTTTTGCGGAACACTGGCACCTGTTGTGGGCACGGGTGTACCAAAATCCACTGCCACAACATCATTTGCCTGCGACCTAAATATGGGTGGCATCCAATTGAGATACCCATTGCGACCTCCACTCTTCCTACCTCATAATTCCCTATCATAAATCTCATCGAAAAGAACCCCCAACAACAAAATTTAAGCTCCAGTAAATGTCCTCTTACAATTCCAGCACCTAAAACAACACCCATCATACAATCTTGTATACTTGTATAAGTTATAACAGTAAGGACACACTGTCCAATAAGTACCCAACCCATCACTTCCCAAACTACTACCATTATCAGCATTACTACTATTGACACCTTTATGTTGTTCGGTAACTTTGCACATTAAAGAGAGTGAAAACAATATAAATCAAAAGAAAAGTGAACAGCTATGAATCCCGAAAAGCTCAAATTGGAGGTGAGGGACGGCAGGTGGCAAACAGAGGTTGAATGACATGGGGATTCTTTGTGTGAACCTATGTTTTCAAATGCAAGTGGAACAACCACGAACCTTTCAAATGCGGTGGTGGCGGTGGTCGACGGAGATGGCGATGGCGGCGATGGCCGTAGGCATGACGGTGACAAATTTCTAGTTTTGAGTTGAGGGTTGATGAAGAAGATAATTTTTCCTTTTTTATTTTTTTTTTGGTTTTTGGTTTAAGTTTTTAATTATTTTATGGGAAAAATATTAAATTACTGTTTTGCCCTTTCAAAATTGATTAAAATGTCTCCCTTAAATTTATTGTGCGTTTCATTAGAAAAATCAAATATTAATTTAATTTTAACAACGAAACACACAATAAACACACAATAAATTTGAATTTTCAAATGATGAAAATAGCTTAAAATCTTACAAAAATATGTTAAAATTATTATGTAATTGAGTAATTATTTCTCGTGGGATCGACAATCTGGACCCGTTTGTCCATTTATTACTTTTAAGCAATCCATGTAATTGCCGTGCATATTTTTTAATGAACGGCGTGTCGATTTCATTTTTGTAAGTTTAGTGATCAAAATTCGACCATTTTAAAATTCAGTGAGCAATCGAAAATATTTTCCAAAATTTAGTGAGTAATTGAAGGTATTTTTTACGTGACAACATAGTATAGGTCCAATTAATTTAAATGTAGGAACATAGAACTCATATTGTTGGATCTATCATTCAATGTCACATAAACCAATAACGCTCTGCTAGATATTTTCTCATACTCATTTTCAACAACACATTCTTACAATAAATATTCTTTACGTAAAGAAAATCTTTTTACTATATTTCAAAAAACCACCATTCCATAACTCATTTTCTTCGAAAAAATGGTTGTCAAATAAGGGCATAATAGTACTCTCGTTACTTATCTCAAAATGAGCATAAAAGAGTATTTTTATCAAAATTATTCCAATTTTAGACAAAAACTGCCAATGAAGACAAAACAATTTCAAAAATTGTAAGTCTAGGACCCATTATTAGAGACCAAATGACACTTACTCCAAAATTTGGGACCAAATTGCAATTTGTCTAAAACAAATTAATCTAGCTCAAAATCGAGAACCCTTGGTCCCCTGCCTGCCCCGGAATGGTCACTCCAACGTACCAGCCGCTGCAGGCATGCTTCCAAAAGCACATGAAAACGACAATCCAAACCCCATGGAGCTCAAACCTGAATTTTCCCAATAAAATTTAATTATTTCAGTTTTGGTATCCAAGATTTTATACTACATTTTCTTGATTACATACATAAAAGCATTAATTCTCATATAGCGAGAAATTCAATAAAATCAAGTGTATGACATCAGTCTTGAATCCAAACAAACCCTCTGTTTTGTAACAGCAGCATCACATTTCTCTCCTGGATTTATCATATCCTTTAGACTCGGGACAATCCCAATTTTCATCTCTCTGCACACGTTCTTCGCCCACAGAAATTAAGATCGTGTAGATAAAGTGAAAAATTCATTTTTACCAATTCATTGTCATCCCCGCAATTACTTGCATTCTCTTTCCACTCTTCATATAGTTCTATATATGCATAGATATTTGCATATTTAGTATAATTTATATATTGCATTTGTGATATAAGTAGTGAATCAGTGGTGAGTGAGACGCTACATGGCATGCATGAAGTTGGGTTCCAAAGCAGACGTGTTTCTCCTTGATGACCACACCTGGTTAGTCTTTTTCCGTGATCTGAGAAGTGTTTGAACCCATACTTTTTCAATTTCTTCGAAATTTTACGATATATAATGGTATTTTTTTTTGGTTTGATTTCGATAATTTTGACAGAATTGGTAGGTTATCTTTACAAGTTGTTTTTTAGTGAAATTTTATGTATGTCATTATGATGTTTGAAACTAATTTCCTAAACCTGCTCTTTTTGTGAAGGAATAGTGATATTCATGGAATTCAGTCTTAAAACTGGCTTAAAAGTAGAGGATATCTAAGTGGTTATAAACCCACAGGTGAAGCCTTGACTAAATGTAGCAACGTAGGAAGTAATTAGGGTCATTACATTTTGGCACGGACATCGAATTTGGGTATAAGTATTGTGGTCTGATTCATTCAATAAATCTTTGATTTTCATTTTATTTTTTTGTGCATTGTGTCATATATCGGCATCTCTGTTTAATGGTAGAAAAGTATGTACAATGTACACCAACACCAGAAGTTATTCTAATTTGTATAGTGCTGTATATCCGTCCGTCATAGCCATCTATGATATCATTCAACCAATATAGTTTCTTCCTGGGAATGTGTGTTTCACTAGATTATTAGTTTCTGTTTAGATACACGCAGTAGTTGTGCTATTGCAGATTCATATGATGCATTGGTTGTGCTAATATTTTGGCTTTTAAAGAATTTAATTTTCTAAAAATAGATTGTTCTGTGCAGGCTCTGCTCCACTGGGCTTTCAAGTGATGTTTGCATTGAAGTTGAAGAGAAGTCCTTCCATCTTCACAAGGTCTTATACATATGCGGAGTTTGAAAATTCGATTGTACATTAACATGTATCATGAATGATGTGCAGCATACTTTCATCCTTTTCATGTTTCCTCTTTCGGTTTCTTTGTCCTTTTTTTTCCCTTTCCTTTGCCTGCAACTAGTGAGTGCAGAAAAGAGAATAACGTCCATGTCTGGAAATGCATTTGTTCTTTTATTGCAATGTGTCGTATAAACCACATAAGCCGCCTTCACGAATTACCACTCATTTTCTTTTAAATGAGATCTTTCTCATTTTATGCATGAGAAACATCAGCATATTCTTTGAAGTAGACAAGTTCGTGGCATGTTTAATCCTCAACATTTCCATGTAGAATACAGTATTTAGATCTTCAATTCTCCTTGATACTTTTTCCTTCTGTTGTTGTCCTTTATCTATCTATATACTTGCTTGTGGACTATCTTTGACTCTTTTGTCTATATATTCCAGTTTCCACTGTTGTCCAGGAGCAGGTTTTTGGAAAAACTTATCCAAGAATTTCCTGAGAATGAGAAATGTGTTTTGGAACTTCAAACTATACCTGGCGGAGCAAAAACATTTTTGCTCATAGCCAAGTTCTGCTATGACGTTAAATTTGAACTCACAGCGACTAATGTGGTCAGTCTTAGGTGTGCGGCCGAGTATCTTGAAATGAATGAAGATTATGGAGAAGGAAACCTTATTAAACAAACTGAAAGTTTTCTCAATGAAGTATTTGGGAGTTGGTTAGACATTTTTAAAGCCCTCGAAACTTGTGAAGACGCCCTTCCCCTTGCAGAAGAACTTCATATAGTTTCACAATGCATTGATCGCCTGGCAATGAAAGCTTGTGCCGAACCAATTCTTATGTGTAGGCCTGTGTCAGGACGAAGTGCCGCTCAGAGTCCAGTCAGTACTTTTCTATGGAATGGTATACACTCAACTTCCAAGCAACATACCCCAACTGAGGATTGGTGGTATGAGGACGTGGCATTTCTTAAATTGCCTTTGTTCAAGAGGTTTATGCTGGCTGTTGCTATTAAAGGCATGAAACCCCAGAAAATTGCTGAGGTGGTAATGTTCTATGCCGAGAGGTATCTCCCGTTAAATGGTAGGCAATCAAGCTTTCAGAATGGGAACAATCGCACGCATGGATCAACGCTTCACATTACATCTGATGCCGATCAGAGGACTCTTCTCGAAGAGATAGTTCAATTACTACCAAATCAAAAGGGTGTGATGCCCACCAAGTTCCTGCTTAAACTTCTGCGAACATCCATGATCCTACAGGCAAGTACATCCTGTCGAGAGAATTTGGAAAGGAGAATCGGGGCCCAATTCGATCAAGCAGTTCTGGAAGATCTTCTAATACCAAGCATGGGCTACTCAATGGAGACCCTTTATGACATCGACTGTGTTCAGCGAATTGTCGATCATTTTGTGTTGATGGATCAGGATACATTAAACCCTCTGGCGAACGAGGGCCAGTTACTAGGAGATTCTCATTCATTTACACCAATGACAATGGTGGCAAATCTTGTGGACAGCTATCTAGCTGAAGTGGCACCTGATGTTAACTTGAAATTATTGAAATTCCTGTCCCTTGCTGCTGTAATTCCAGAATATGCCAGGCCAGTGGATGATGGAATTTACCGTGCTATTGATATATACCTAAAGGCAAGTAGTCTATTTGAATTCTTTCGATAATTACACATCATGAGAAACTTGTTGGAACCTGACTGGAATTTGCTTGTGCAATTGATTTGGATATATCTAGGCTTGATGAACCACAGAAAACACCTGCATCATGAGATTTTTTTTGCTTAGTAAAATGTTTCTCAAGTACCCGTTATTCTCTTTAATGTTTGAAAGTATTGCAAAACATAAAATGGGTATCAAGCAGGCAATGTGTGGGCTGAGGAGGCTTAGTTTCACGATGTAGTTCAACAACCCCAGCTAAAAGATCAAGCTACTAAAGAATGGAGAAACTTAACATGCACCCTAGCGTGGTGGTTAGATTATTTATTTTTATTTTTTTTATCAAAGATAATACATATACAGCAAATTATAAGCCAGTATTGCTCTCAGTACAATTCAATATTGCTAGTTCAATCTTCTCTGTTTTAATGTTGACGGTTCCTGTATCTTCAGGCACATCCACGGCTAACAGACTCAGAAAGGGAACAGCTCTGTAGGATCATGAATTGCCAGAAGTTGTCATTGGAAGCTAGCACCCATGCAGCTCAGAATGAGAGGCTACCATTGCGGGTCATTGTCCAAGTTCTTTTTTTTGAACAGCTCAGGCTGCGTACATCTGTGTCTGGTTGGCTTTTTGTCTCTGACAACCTCGAGAATTCACAAGACCTAAGTGAGAATCTAGTACCAAGAAATGACTGCATGGTTCCCGTGAGTTCTGGAGGCGATCAGATTGACACGGTTAATGACATGAATGGACGGGTCTCTGAGCTTGAAAAGGAGTGCTTGAATATGAAACAAGAGATAGAGAAGCTCGTAAAGACTAAGGGAAGTTGGGACAACTTCCTTAACAGATTCGCATTAAAATTTAAGACGAAGTCTTTTGACTTAAAGTCAGTGAAGATGCCCTGCAAAGGCCTAGAAGTAAAAACGCCAAGAAAAGCAGTTTCAAATGGAAAACAAAATCACGATACATGTAAGTTGAATGATCAAATGCCTGATCTTTAAAGAACTTGTGTAATCGTGTTGTTTCTTTTTTTCTCTTGGAAACTACTAACAGCTATTAGATCGCATTCTTTTCGCTGATTAATGGATTACTTATTTTAGCACTCGATTTTCTGTTATATTATATGTTTCTCTTTCCATTCAGTATCGCTTTGTTGTGAATCCATACTCCAATGTTTGAAATATTACTTATTTTTGAAGCTTGTCCAAATGGAATTTTGCTTAGCCGCCGCAGTTTATTATAACTCCCATATTAATCCGTGACATTTTGAAAATTGTGATTTAAATTTCTTCAAAAAGTTTAGTGCAAAGAACAAAAATATAGAATCTCATGCAATTGATTTAATACAGAAAATCAAGAGTGGGAATTAAGGAATTGACAAGACTTTGCGGGAAGAATAAAGTAGCAGTATTATTACAGTAAAATGTAAAGAGGTCTCCTATTATTCCCACTGTTATAAATTATTCCCAATCCTCTCAAAGATGACGAGGCTTACCTTCTAATAGACATCCCCCCAATAGTACATCAGTTAAAAACAAGTGAACCTATGTACTGTTCTCTTCTCAAAAATATACTGGACCCTTTACCATTTTTCTTTCTTTGCATAACCAGGAAAGGAAGATATCGAAAGATGAAAAACTGTCTGACCTGGTTATAAAACCCAAGTCAAAATTTGAACTTATCTCGGCCGTGGTCTTGATAATGTGGCCTGAGAACGTGTAAGCATATCAACCATTGAAGGTGTTTGATAGGTCTGAACAAGGCTGTAGCCATCTGTAGAGTCACCTCGTGCTGTTGCTCTCTGCCACGTGTGTGAGCTCAGTCCAGACAGAATATATGCCCTCCCTGATGTCTCATACACGTGTCTGCTTGCCAACCTCTCTTGCATTTCTTTGAGCTCGGCATCGAGTGCAATACAGAGCCGGTCTTGAGATTTAGCTGACACCGTTTCCGAAAGCAATGTCCTGCAGTTCTCGAGGATAGAAACTGCACGAGCTAAATCTCCAGTTTCAGCAGCAGTTCTGGCTTGTGCCATTGCATCTGCTACTAGAAGCCTATTCCGCTGTCTGTCAACTTCAATGGATGTTTCCTCTTGTCCAGCCACTTCACGTCTCATAATTCTAACTTCTTCACCTTCTAAGCTAACCGTTCCTGTTTTTAAGGGATCATTGTAAATGCATCTCACCTTCAACAATGACGTTTCATTGCTTGACAACTCATCCGGAACACTGACCGAAACCAGAAAATTCCTTTCTTCATCAGCATACAGATCTCCAACAGCAACAGACCCCGTGCGGTGATCAGACATCACGCGATTGGGATAACTTCCTGCTTTTAGAGAGCAAATATGTACTCCAGGGTGAACACATTCAATGCTGACCTGCAGGTTCTTGACAACAACATTCAGAAGGCCTCCGATGCACTGCGCAAAAGCGTCCTGGATTACCCCGTCAGTCTCAATGAAAGAGAAAGTTCCTCCGGAACTCTCTGAAATCGAGTGCATTGACAATGCATCATGATCGGCACCAAACCCAAAAGCGTGGACTGGAATCTTAAAACCGGAACTGTCTTCCGTGTGAATAGAAGGAAGGAGTAACTGATAACTTGGTTGATTCTGGTTGCCATCAGCATTACTGACTGAATTTGTGTCTTGCCCATCAGAAAGTAATATTATACTGGAAACTGGATTTTTTTCCCTGCGATCTTCCATTATTTTGGCACCCTTCTTCAAACCTTCAGCAATGTTTGTCCCTCCATTTGCAATCAAAGAACTAACGGCTTGCAATGCTAGCTGCCGTCCCATTTCAGACATCCTTAAAAGGGGGAAAAGTCGGCTGGCCTTGGACGAGAAGGCGACTACTGCCAGCCTGTCATTTGGACCAAGATTCTGTATCACAAACCCCATAGCTCTCTTTAACAATTCAAGCTTAGCACCTGACATGCTACCACTGATGTCAAGAACAGTAACAAGGTCAACTGGAGCACGACAAGTTCGAGAATTTTGGTTCAAACTATCCTGGTCCCCACTGGGAATTTCCCTGGAATTTGAAGAAGGAGCTTTCAGATGAAGCAAGATGTTGAAGTCAACAAACGTACTCGACTGTGGAACTGCTGGATATTCCGAGTATGTCTTAATCGTAACTCTACCCTGGTCATCACAATCTTCAGCATTCTTGTTTGACGAGCTTCTCCCGGATGAGCCAGTTTGACAATCCAACAGCTCGTCATCATTGAAAATTGCTGGCTCAGGGCGGTGAAATAGTGGAGCATTGCGTCGAATGGAATTGCGTCGAGGAGGTAATTGACTGGGTACTGTCATCAAAGCATCATTCTGGAGTGAACCTATAGGATTGACTCTTGCCCTTCCAACTGGAGGATCCAGGCTCGGGCGCTGCAGAGGAATTTCTTTCCACTTTGCTCTGCAAACCGGGCAAATCTGGTTTCCGTGTTTGACATTTGAAGCAATACAATGGAAATGAAAGGAATGCGAACATTCCGCAGTGAATATTGCATGTCCATCTCCTCGTCTCATTGAAGCTAAACATATTGAGCAGGTCTTCTGAAAATCAAAGGAAAACACACGAGGGAAAAATGAAATAAATTTAAACAAAACATATAAAACATTATACGAGCAGATAAATTCAAAACAAGCATAAAATGAAAGAAGAAGCAGAACAAAATAGAAAACCGATGCGAGCCTAAGCCACATGCAGAACTTACACTCCTTTGATCGCTTCGATTTTTCAGTAATAGTATACAGCAGAGGTCAAATGCCATCAAAGAAATAGTAATATCACACATGTTAAGTTCGTTAAACAGAAAAGACATCAAACTTTCTTTTCTTTTGCTACTTCCATCGACTTGTTCTAAACACGAACAGAAATACAGAATGGGAATAAAAGAAAGATTAAACTCGAAACAAGCTGTAGAGAAATCAATAAAGCAAGCGAACCAGGCTTTCACAACAGCAATCTATCCTAATTGAGAGACAAATGAATTCATTACTGCTAACTGTAATGCCTTCAACAGTTACTGGATTCTCATAACATTTACATCATCAACCAAACACGTTAAGTTACCACTAAAAGAGGCAGAAAGTTCTTATTCAGTTAAAGAACTCACCTTCATTTTCTCTGTTACAAAAACCACATTAACAGACACGAGAAAATCTTAAGATTATCGCATCGGTTTTTGGTTGTCAGTAATTATTTCAGCAAACAAATAAAGATCCAATCTTAATTAACAAATTCTACCTGTTCTTCACCCACATAACACATTGTTTAGCATAAAGAACTCAAACAGATTCCCAGTTTTCACCATAAAGCTGCATACCCGAGAAGAATATAACTTACAGATTGAAAAATATAAAGTTGAATACAATATAAGTTCAAGAAATTCCCGAACCTTTGAAGAAGATCTGCTCAAACTCTTAGAAAGCTTAAGCCGATTTGATCCCTGTGGCAACGGTGCAGAGGTCCCGACGGCCCCTGGCGATATCAAAGCAGTGACGGAACGACTCTCGGGTGGTGGTGCTGGCGGCGAAAAATCATCCTCATCATCATTGTCCAGCGTCTGATTCCTTGGTGCATAGACACACAGATTCATCCCCAGGGCTAGCTTCACTCTATTCCATTTACTTCCCATTTTTGTTTATAAGATTACTTATACCACACACTAAAGCCCAAACCAGCCTTTTCAAGAAAATAGGATATGCCGTTCGTTGTTATCGAGAAAATTCAGGGAAAAAATAATGGAAATTTGTTCTTGAAATCGGGTTCTAGTACAAAGAAATAATACAACCCTATCAGTAAAATCTAAGAAAATGAAGAAGATGGGATATTATGGGGAAATTGTATGAAATGAAAATGAATTTTCCTGGAGAAAATTAACACGAAACCTGGAGGGAGAGAGAAAGAGAGTGGCGGGGATTGTTGAATATAAAATGAACGCGAAACCGGGAGGGAGAGAGTGGCGGGGATGGTTGAATATAAAAAAAAATGAATGGAGAGATTGGCTGACATTTGCTGTTTTTGTACCATATACTGATAAATCTGACCATCCAACTTTATACTAAGAGCCCGTTTGGTACCAATTAAAATTCAATTAAAAATGATAATGTAGTCGTTATTGGACTCCACTCGTCTAATAAAAGTCAACAATAACGACTAATTTTTCAATTTTAATCCGATTTTAATCTCCATCAAACGGGCTCTAATTATTACAATGGTCATTCATTTTAATTTTGTTTCATCATAATCATCTAACTTTATATTTAGNAATTTGATTTTATTTCATCATGATCACTCAATTTCGTATAACATTTTACTATGATTATCCAATTTCGCATAAAATTTCAACATGGCCACCCAACTTCTTTTCAGTAATTTTAAAATGGGTAAAACGATAACTTTGCGTTATATATAAAAAATAAATAAATAATTATTTACAAAAAACATTTCTTAAAAAAATAAAATGAAATAAAAACTTATTTAAAAAAATGTTTTTAAAATAAAATAAAAAGTTATTTAAAAAAAACGTTCCTTAAAAAAAAAAAACTTATTTTTTAAAAAAGGTTTTTAAAAAAAAACATATATATATTTATTTATTTTAGGAAAAAATTGTGAAAAAGTGTTGGGTGGTCATGGTGAAACAAATTTAAATTGGATGACTATAGTAACATTAAGTATGAAGTTGAGTAAACATTGGTGGATTTAGGCCACTGTAATATAAATAGTTTAACCCTTGTTTGATCCCCATTACACTTTACGTTAAGTCCTACGCTGGAATAAATTCGTGAAAGTTTGAAATTTGATTTTATTGTCTACTCATGTTTTACCTTTCTTATAAAATAATAATCAATTGCAATTATCGTTTCATAAGCATTCAAAGATAAAATTTTACAAGATAACCCAAATTTTACAGTGAACAATGAAAAAAGCTCGTTTGACTGAAGCATTTGCTACGCGTAGATTGTGAGGGAAAATGAAACTCGCGAAGGGGGTTTTGGGTTGGAGAATTTTGGACACGATAGCACCCTCTTGCGCATGTAGGTTCGATCCGGATGTCATTACAATTATACATTTATAATGCAGAGTTAATGTAGATAGAATTCAATCCATCACGAAAAGAATACCTTAAAAATTAATCCATCACGAAAAGAATACCTTCCAAGATACCATTGGAGGTTGTAGTGAGCATAAAGTGGAAAGCTTTTGACGAAATTTCGTATTTTTAAAATTTTTGGCTTCATTATTTTTCTCTTTACAAAGATTTATCTATAATTTTAAAGGGAATTGGCCTCCAAATAGTATAGAAATCTAATAATCTCTTTTCTCCATTTCTATGGTTGAGAAAGTCTAAAATGTCAAACTTTTAGGTTTAAATTAGGTTTAAATATTGCCACTTGTTTGTCTTTATTAATATTGCGTTTCGTCTTTTATTTAGATTGTGATTGATCTCGCCTTTGAGATAAAGTATTTTTTAACCCCTGCATCTTGACTGTAATTCGAATTCAAATCTAGTATTCGATAATGATTCATTCTTGTCACTTGAGTTAACTTTGTTACAAGATAACATAACTTTGGATCTATCTTTGTGGGTATTTGACTATCTCGTAATTGAATGAGATGCACTTCAAATCACAACACAAATGATGTCTTGCCGATTTTGACTGAAAATCCATATTTAGCCGTCTCCTAGATTATTTTCCTTTGCTTCGTATGATATCTCATTACATTCGTTCTTATTTGAAATCAAAAAAATATGAGCTGATGTCATTTCTAATATGATGTATCGGAGTCTTCTCGTATCTCATATGCTAAGAAGAATTATTTTGTGAACGTTAATAAGTTAGCAACAAAAAAACTAAGAGAAATGTATGCAACAAATCTCATCTTTTTTTCTTTCACAGTCGCTTACGTGAAGCAAATTCAAATAAAACTTTCTAAAGAAATTCAATAAATTCAATTTTTGATATATTCTTTTATTAGTATATTTTAATTCGAGATGGTATAATTACAAGGTAATTCTAATATTACGTTATGTAAATGTTCATCAAAACTTATTTATTACAGCCTGAGCAAAAATAAAGGAAATAAATAAAATAACTCATTTTTCTTCTTCGTCGAACTTACAACGTCATCTCAATGAAATAATTATTTTATGATAGAAGTCAATGATCATTTATTTCTACTCGCCTTTTTGTCTAATGTTTCCAACTTACGCTAGATATATATAT